AGAAAAGTATACATCTAAAAATATTTTTTTGTCATTATTTGTAGAGTAATATATATATATGTATACATATATATATGAATTTAGCCATTAAATTATTTAAATCCTTTAGAGAATATGTAATAATTTCTTTTGTAAAACACATGTTGAAGCTTCTGTAGCCAGATTATATTGGCGGTAATTCGCAGTGTAATTAACATTCGAGAAACACTGCAGAATAAAAAAATATGGTTAATATATTTTTGTAATGTTCTGATATCGAGTAACGAATTATTGTATACATAATTAATAGCTCTGCTGATTTAAAATGTTTATCTTACTTTTTGTAAGGTGGTCGCATACTAATATTTATTTTACCGTACAGAACACAAAAAAGATCATGTAATAATATATGTAAATTATGATTAGTGTATCTATAAGCCATATTGATTTTCGTTATTCGAACTGTTTGTTCGCCATTACTCTTTATCGAGATATAAATAGTTCTACGTTCTAATGTTTTTACTCTTCTTTCGGTAGGATGGAAAATATTTATATTTTCAGTGAAAGATAAAAAAGTCGCATTACCGATAGAGGGGAACAAATGCAATAACAAAGTTCTTAAATAAATCAAATCATAATACTTTTTTTAAGTACTCTTATAACAGCGTTCTTTAAGATGTAAAACATACCTTTACGAATAATGAAATTGCATTCTCTCATACAGAATGCAGCAACTATGATCACGCGAGTATAATAACTATATGGTAGGAACCACCTATATCCTTTTGAAAAGAAGAAGTCAATATAACAAAACAGTAATGTCATACGAGAACTATACGTAAAATAGTTTCTCAGTCAACTGACATAGGATTTCGTCCTTGGTTTTACAATTAATCAGGATATCCAAGAACCAATGTGTATAGTTTCATAACTACATGATTACGTTTAGAACTTATCCTTGAAATATCTTTTTGACTTCTAGACCTAATAGAACGTTAGATAAGTCCTCGTTTTTTCTTATAATCTTCTAAATTTAATGATCGCCGAGGTCCTGTGTCTTTAATATTGCTAATAGGCTTCGGCAATACACTAACAGGATTATCTAAAAAAAAAAGACATATTATATAAAAACTTATATTATGCATTTTCAAAGAGAAAAATTTGACTATACCCAACTTACTTGGGATTGGTACTTCCAAATCTATTGTGATATCGAAATCGTGGGCATTGAATAGGTCTTCAGTACTTTGTTTTTTCTTCGTCTCCTGTCCATTTTCTTTTTCGTTAGTTGCCGACACAGTGTCAGCTTGTTGAGGAGCTGTTTTGTCAGTTACTGGAGCTGTCATTGCTACGTCGTCATCTTCAGGTTTGTAAACCATCCTTGGCTTTGTGCTACGTCTAGTAAATGGATCATCTACCTTTTTACCTTTATTAGCTTTAATTTCTTCCTGCAATAAAAGAAATATATACCATTTTTAGATGCTCATCAAGTTTAATTACTTTTGTAACACAACATAAAATATTTTTAGTTACCATAATAGCTTTTTCCGCTTCTTCTACATTCTTCTTCCGATTGCGATCGTTAATATAAGATATACTAGATATTGTAGCAGTGCGCATTTTATCAAGTTCTGAGGCACGTTCTTCAAGCTCGCTTAATTCTTGATTCAATCGACTAGCGGTCTCATCGTCTCCTCTGCAATTAGCTGCGTCTCTTTCCCGCATAAGTTGTGCTTTCTTCATCGCGTAATTATATGGATTTTGTTTAAATCTTTCCTTTTCTCGTACTATTTTCTCTATATCTTCTTCTTTGAACTCATAAACTAAAGCTTCCTTAATATCTTTCAATTTTTGATCGACTTCTTCGAATGTGGGCATGGATATTCCTTGCAAAGCACAGGTTTCCTTCCACTTGAAGAATTCAGACTCTGTAAATTCTTGATTTGACACGAATTCTAATCTAAAGACGCGTTCCTGAGCTCCATGTCTCAATTTTAAGCCTTTATTTGTTCTAGTACCACCGAGTTGATAGATCTTTCCTGTTTCACAGACTCCGCTAATTTCGGCTACTCTGTAGACGGGTTTCCCGTTATTATTGCCAATACCAATTCTAACAAAGCAACCTTGTACTACTCTATCGAAGAAGGGTAAGTGTACAAATCTCTCCATTTTGTGACGTGATAATCTAATTTTGTTGAGATCTTCCTTTGTACTAACGTATATTGGTTTCTTCGGTTTGGCCTTATTACTAGTGACAGATCTAGAAAATTATAAAAGCATGATGAGCATCATTAAAGTATGAACTATTTACTTAAAAATAGATTTACGAACTTCTTATCGTTATCGGAATCAGAGTCTCTACTATCGCTCGAAGACGATCTACGGTGAGATGATGGTTTAGGAGCTTCTTCATCTTCACCGCTATCCGATGAGCCACTGTCATCTGAATAAATGTCAGATGCCTTGAGCTTTGTTTTGTTTCCACCTTTGTGATCGTCTTCTAATTCTTCTTCTTCAATGTCCTTTGATTGTTGTTGCTGTTGCTCTATCCTTTGTTTCTCTTTTTCCTCTAATAAAGGAAAATAAGATGAAGATCATTTTTAAAATCACCTATATATAAAGTATAAAGTCACCTAAATGTATAAATTACTACACCTCTTTCTTTTTTCTCTTCTCTTCTTGCTTTCAAGAGAGACATTGCATGGAACTTTTTGTCTTGCTTCTCTTCTATTGTCTTCTTACGATCTTTACTTCTTTCTTTAGGATCTGGAGCTCTATCTACTTTTTTCTCTTCTGCACTCTTTTCCTTCTTCCTCGATTCTTTTTGTTTTTTTAATTCTTGCTTCTTGGCCATTCTCAGCTTCTTTTCAATTTCAAATCTTGTTTTCATTATTTCTCGTTGCTCTATGCGTTTAAAGATTTCCTGTTCACGTTCTTTCTCTGTCATTTGAGCAAGTCGTGCTTGGTCTTCAGCATCTCCCATCAATTTGTCATCATAGCCATCATTGAATTCTTCCTGGCTGGAATCAGACACACTGGCGTCCGAGTCTGAGACCTCGCCTGTAAACATAATTACTTAGAATTATGGATATTAAGTTATCTAGATATCTAATCTGAATTATCAAAATTACCTTCTTCTGGTTCAGAAACTTTCTCAGGCTCTTTCTCACCAGCACTTTCTTCGCTACTAGATTTTGTCATCTTTCGTTTATTTCTCTTAGTTGGCACTTTCTTTTTCTTATTTTTACCAGCCTTTGCACCCCAGTCATCATCAGAATCCGATGTGTCTGAATCATGTTTGTTATCCTTCTTCGTAGTTCCTGTATCTTCATTCGATTGAGAGTCATCTTGACTTTTGCCTTTCTTCTTTTTAGCAAGTGACAACAAGTCCTAGTTCAAACAAAAGATGATCAATTAAACTGTTAAACATTCTTTATATATATTAAATAGTATGTATTCCAAAATAAATCTGATGCACATTTGAACTACATATTGTATACATTTCTAGAATATAGTATATATTCATTGTAATTCAATTAATCGATTAATACAGGAACTATATAGTTGTTTAATCTCTATTTTCAGCAGTATATATGTACACAAACTTCGCACTTGATTTAGTAATATCTCTTTTAGAACAGATCATGTATATTTAAAAAAAGTGCATTACTTCTTAAAATCAAATGAAAATCTAATGTACATGCAAAAACTTGAACGCGTATCTGCTAGCAGTACAATAGGTTATGTAAAATAATTTTCATTCGTATATCGTTGACAATAACTGGTACCATGAGTATGAAGTCGGTTCAACATAAATAACATTACTATTAATATCGTACAGCTCGGCTCCCGACGAGCGAAAAGTGAATTCAAAATGCAGTATAGCCGATATGCAACACGAGATTTTTATGTAAGGTTATATCATTTACATTTTCTAAATCCGAGCCACTTTCCGACGCACTGCCACTACTGTCAGAATCTATGAGAGCTTGATTCTTTCTCTTTGGCATCGTCACGCAGATAACCGTACGGAGATCGTGAAAATTGCACGCCCTCCTGACAAAGACAAATCTAACGTCATGCAAGATACAATAAACTAGGAAGACCGCGTAGAACCGAAAACGTAAAATATCAACGCCGATCGAGAATAGCGTACACCACGCCACACATTACTTCTTCGAACTCACAACACAGAATGTCAGCGACGCTCTACGAGAGCACTGCTTCCTGCTCTACACTGTTGAAGCATAGAATGTAACAAGACACGAAATTCTCGTCAAAAAATTTAATGGCAAAAGCGCAGTAAAATTCAAAATTTTAAACAATTAATTCTTAATATCTTCATTAATGTACAGATGTACATGTAATAATCTATATTCTATTACACACTTTTTTTTATTTTCTAAATTATATTTAGTATATAATCTAATTCCAATCTTTTAGTAAATGCATTTTAAAATCTTTTGAACTTAATTCATGATATGCACTTACGGACGCTTGCGCCCTGAAATTGATTTTAAAATGTAATTCGATTAGGTGTAAAAAAACTGTACCCTCATTTCATCTACAGTCATGCCTCACTATAGTAAGCATTTCTGCTTCACCATAGTACAGTAGTGCTTCACTATACGAAACTTATGCGGAGGCAACCGGCTAGGAGTTAGCTATAAATTGCTTCTCCTCTGATTGGTTGACGCATCACAGCTAAATAGTATTGCTCTCACAGTTTTAGACAAGGAAAGGAAGTGGGGGTGAGCAAGAGAGCATGACATCGCACAACACAAGCGAAACAAGTCACACCGCGACCAATGTAGCTTGTCTCACTTTACCATGCTTGCGATATCACTCTATTCGCGCATCCGTTGCCTGGCTGAATTAACAAATGTAGATTCATAAACTATAAAGTGTTATTTAAAATATAGCTTATGGGTTTTCGAAAAGTTTAATAATCGTAGAAATGGTCACCGTTTCAAGGCATTCGAAAATACACTGGACTGTGTGGTCGAGAATCCTACAGGGTGAAAAGTACAAGTCGAATATCACGCCGAGTGTTTCGCTTGTGCTGTGCTGTTGCGCTCTCTTGCTCACTCACCACTTCTGTTCGTTTAAAACTGTGAGAGTAACACTGTTTAGCTGTGATGCATCAACCAATCAGAGAATGCTTTATAATTCTAAGCGAGTTGCCCCGCATGGACTCGGTATGGTGAAGCACTACTATATTGACACAATATTTTATGATATAAATAACTTCCAAATTATGGTTGAATCAATCAGATACACAGACCAATAGTCGATCACATATGGCCTGTGATCACATACGATTAGAAGAATTTGTAGGTTAATTAAAGAAAAGATATGTAATTTTTATTTTAGAAAAAACTGCATTTCATAGAATAAATACTAGTACATATATAGTACAGGGTGTCTGTACATACTAGTACAGGGTGTCCCAAAAATGTCTCGCAATCTTTAATGAAAATGCAATTCGCGAGTTTGTTTACGGGTTACTAACGAAAACGGTGACCAATAAGAAGCGAGTTGGCTGGCACGAGGCGGTTCAGCCAACCAGCGCGCAAAGCCCAGTTCCGCTCATTGGTTCGGCCGTCTTGCGCCCGCTGATCTCGCCTCTCATTGGTCACTATTTTTTGTTAATAACTCACAAACAAAACCACGGATTGCATTCTTGTTAAGGAAAAAGTTACTTCAAATGACCACAGGAATCTCTCATTTCCGGATTGCGAGACATTTTTGGGACACCTTGTATATATTTTCACAGCCTTCACAAATGATAGGTGCGAACATAGGTATGAAATCACGAATCAGATATACAAATATAGTTCGTGACTAACTACGAAATGTATGTTCAATGTTTAGCAATTGAACTTTCACAGTTGAATCGTTATATTAATCCCTGATTATAAATTGTATATATAATATTTGCTTTTCTTTTTATAATCGATGCATCATTTATATCGATTCACATCACAATGTTGCAGGTGCTTTCCAATTGAAGTTAGGAACATTTTCTTCCTTTGCACTGGTAATCGTGAATGTTGACACTTTTTGCCGTCAATGGCGTACGATAGACGCACCTGTGTCGATGTGTCAGAGAAATTTTGTACTATATTGGATTTTGTATGACGTTATCGTCAACCAGTGAAATGTAATTATAGGAGTGGCATTTACGAATTAATTGTAATAGATAGTAGTGTCGTAGAGAACCAGTGCATTCTAATTACGGATGTTTAAAATTAGAATGTTCAATGGCTGTGAATATGGAAGTAGACAAGAGCATGTCCAAAGAGGTTGACACTCAACTTTCGACAAGCAATTCGACGGAATTTAAGGACGGCGTTCGTCATGAGAACAACGAAAACGTACAAGACCTCCAGGATCCTTATTCATCCCTTGATAGTAAAACAATTAACAACCACAGATGCGATCAAACCATTCTATACGCACAACTCGACGGTCCCGAGATTTATGCTAACGAATTATCCGATAATCGAGTCTTAGAAAATAAAAAAGGGGAGGACAGTTTAGAAAATAAAAAGGAAGATTCGTCTGAGTCTATGAAACATTTAAAGAGTGATTGTAAAGATCACAAACGAGAATTAACATCACAAAATTCTACAGATAGTCATGCATCCCAAGCTCCATTAGCTTTTACAATTGATTTCGGCAATGAAGGAGTGGACACCACAAAATATCAAAATCTATTCGAAAGGTATAATGCCAGGCATAAAAGAAATCTTTCTACTTCAAAGGTAGGTTCTTGAATCTGTATGAAAGCTACATTTAAAACATTAATCCAAGCTATTAAAATATAGATAAACATTGTCTGTGGAAATGGAAACCTAAAATTCAGTGCACAATGTAACTAAACTGGGAATTAAATTTTCAGGTAGAAATTAACCCAAGGAAAAGTGGTACATCATTTTCTTCAAATTCAGTGCAAAAACAAAAAGTTTCTAGTACACATTCTGAGGGATACTTTAGCAGTGAAGATGATACAAAAAGAAAAACAGATCAATTGTCAGAGAAATTAAAGCAGCTAGGTAACTCAATTCTTTTAAATTTAACTATTGGAGTTTCTTTTTAAATTTGGTTCTTATTAAATAATAGATGTTTAATTGAAAATATTGTTTAAACAAAAAGTTGGATTTTGCTACAAGAATAATTAAATACATCTAATTGCTAGCATAACAAATAGTTTTATTTGGTAAACATATGTTGAGTTTTTATTATTCAAAATAATGCTTGACTGTTTCTTTAAATCATTTGAGACCATTTCCTTTTCAAGAGCTGAATACTGTGTAATGGATGACTATACCTGTAGTGTATGAGTCATGGTGAAGTCACCTGTACTATGCCTTTTAATATTCTTCTCATGTTTCTCCAATATATTCACAGTATGTAGGCTGTCGACACATTTAAGTCTCTAATATCACATTCGTATTAAAACCTTCAATTATATTTAATTGACAAATTGTGGCTACAGCACTTATACATTAACATTAACAATTAATATTCTTTTCTAAATTATATATTTGTATCTTATGTTTGTAAAAAATATTTTGTATGTTCGTAATATATTTTTTTTAGGTTCAAGATCATTTTTAAAATCATCCAATACTGCAAAAAAATCCGAGTCTAACGCAAAAGTATTGAATTTTCAAAATTCAAAAGAAGACACAATGACTAGATCATTTGAACAATCAAAACATAGTAAACTTCCTTACAAAAATCTTTCTCTAGAACTTTCTTACTCAGAAAAAACAAATACAACAACATATTGGGGCCCTCAAAAGTCTGCTACTATAAACGACTTAAGTCGAATTCAATCTAACAATTACGACGATACCGCTAGCGAGAAACAGTATACGAAAAACATAGATCAGGAGGATGACTATGAACATTCGTCTGACAATGAAAAAGTTTCGAATATCAGTTATGCTAGAAAGAAAAGTATTAGCGTGAAGGAACACAATTTATCTAGTGTAAAGTATACAGTAGAAGTAAATCCAGATGTGACAACTGAGACCAACATAGATACTTTCAATGTTAGCAACATTGACGCAGGATCTGACGGTGAAATTAGCGAAGCAGGAACATATACAATACATAAAGATTACACTGATGAAGAAAAAGCACGGATGGATATCGACAAAATATTCAATGTTGGTGTTTTCACTGAAGATGAAAGCAATGAAGCACGCGTTCATAGTTTTAAAGTAAATGAACTTAAACATTTAATATTTATTACATACTTAATAATATTATATAAATATAATAAACGTTTTTGAATAACAATTAAAAATATATTGATTTGTAGATGAGTGCTTCAAGGGATAACAATACATGGATATCAGAATGGGCTTCTCAAGTAGCAGAACATAATTCTCTTCCACCAGTGATAGGTGGACCAACTGGACGTACTCCTCCACTAAGTCCTTCCAAAATACCATCTCCTATACATACTAGATCTCAAAGACTGGCTCGTAGTCGTAATGTATGTTTCTGTTACCTAGATTTAAAAGTCACTATGTTTCAATGAATATTAATACATTATTTTTAGGAACAAAGCGACAGCAGTTTAGACGCGGAGTCATACTTACGAATAAAGGAACGAATTGGATTAATGTCGAACCAACACATACTTATTGATTCTGGTGGAGAATCTGATGATGACACCAGCAATAGTTACAACACTCCTCCACACAGTTCACAACGGACACCCGTGCATGGTGCATTAGCAAGGCGAGGAAGTTTATCCGAATCTCTCTTTAGAAGAATTAATGTCAGCGAAAACAGAAGAAGTCTTCGTAAATACTTAAGTTCAAACAAATCTAAGACTGAGGATGGTAATGCAGAATTAAGTAGTCCGTCCAAAGATTTTGCTTCCCTTCATTTAGGAAAGCGAAGTAGTTCCTTGGACAGGTACTAATACTATTATTGCACATAGAAATTGAATATAACTCGATAATCGAAAATTATCGCTATATGTATCATTTTGATCTTCAAGGAGAGAATATACATCCGACACAACCGAGTCCAATACGTCCAGGAGAAGTAGCATGAAGTATTATCAAGACGATGAAGCTAAATACACAACTAGCCCTGTTTTAAGCCATCTAAGACCATCTACGCCAAAATTAACTAATAGTCCGATCGTAACTCGTAAGACAGTCACAAAAATCGTTAATTCGCCTGTGCTAGAAAGGACTAAGCACTTAACAAAATCTTCTCCGCAAGCGAAAAATATCGGATATTTCACTTGCGTTGAGAACAGGTAGGTAGATAGAACTAGAATTAAAACTACTCCGTTTACAAAATATTATAATTTTTTCTTTCTTGTAGTCCATACATGTTAAGAAAATCTAATAGTACAGCAAGTTACCACGAAGGAACCATTGGTTTTAATAACAAAGATTTACTACCAAAAACGAACAGTGTTCTACAGAATAGTCCAAACCTTCAACGTAATTTAAGCATCCAAAGATCGTGCAGTAATGCGAACATTAGAAGTATAAAATCTCAGAGTCAGTCCTCGCGTCGCAGTAGCTTTAACAGCAGTGACATCGATAAAACATCTTCTGGGGGAAGATGTTTGGCTGCTTCCGATAGTAGCAGCGAAACAGGTGAACAGCAAGTAAAATCATCTTTACCAGCGGCATCTTCTGGAATTAAATTGAATCGAGCTTTCAGTATAAGGAGAGCGAGGTACTTTTAAATAATATAGTATACACAAGAAATAGACTATTAAATAATGCGTGTCGTTCCACAGACTAAATTGTGAGTCTGATACAACACCGAATACTACTCCAGAAGAGAGGCGCAGGAGAGCACAGAGTGAAGTAAAATCAGTACCTTCAACGAATAAACAACAGAATTATCATCGAAGTCGTATAGCTAGCGCTAATACACATAGTAAGGAACCTATAAAAAGATCGGAACCTATAAAACCTAGGGCTGTGTCGTTGTCGAGGACTGATAGTACCAGACTTAGTATACGGGTACCAAAATCAGCACATGTAAGTATTGTTGAAAAGCGTACATATGGATTTTGTCAATTTATCTGGGATTCTGAAATTATGTTCAGCATGCTGCGGTTACACAACGACCCAATCAGAGAGTAAATAAAGATCAGAAGTCTGGTAGAAGTAATTCAACGTTGACATCAAAAGAAGTAGAATTTCAGAATTGGAAAAGAAGAAAAAGTTACGATCCAATGAAAGCAGCCGCTGAAGGTAGAAAAAAATTAATGGATAATACAAAGAAACATCACAGTACAGAAGATAGTACAGGAAAGTGAGTGTTCACTCCATTGTAAAATATTTGCTATGTTTAAATATTATTTTTGAAAAATGCTGATATTCTTACAGTCACGATAATTCTGTATTACGGTCAGCGAGTTTTCATGGAACAGGTGGTGCTCTCTCATTAGCTAATGAGTGGTCTGACAACGAATTAAATTTTGCTCAGAATGACAATCAAGTACCTCCACCATGCAGTCCACAGTTGGTAGGTACAAGAAGACAAATTTTTCAATTACTAATAAATGTTACTAAATCTTCTGTTTTTCATAGGAAAGCGATAGCGATCTTGAAACGTCTTATTACTTGCAAGCAACGCAAAATGTTGTCTCAGCTATGTCAGCTCGTATTACAGTCTGTCATTCACCTTTAATGGACTCTGACAATGAGAGCGACGAAGACACTAGTCATAGTTTGCATAAAGATATATCAAAAACGTTACGTCAGCCTAGCGATACAGAAAGTAGCGACGACCGCCAGCCTAACACACAAAATGTTATTTCAAATACTAAATATAATAGAGCATTCAGGTATGCAATTATTTAATGTTATATCATATAGTGTCGTACACTTTTTAATAAGGCTTTGTTCACAGTTTACGCAAAGCAAGATTAGAAACTCAACCAACAAAACTACCAACAAATGTAAATAATAAGAAATCGGTGACGCATGAGAGTAGGGCAAAATCCGAGACTATTACGAGTATTAGTAGAACTGATTCCGGTCGCTTTAGTATGCGATCAAATAGAACTTCGAATACGGTATGAAACATCCTCCCTCGAAACAAATCTTGTGATTTGAAAATATTTTTGTAAACTCGTTCGTTTTAGGGTTCTAAAACAAAACCAAAGGAAACTAAAAAGCCTGCAACGCCAAATGCAAGGGAAGTTGAGATGCAAAATTGGAAACGCCGTAAGAGTTACGATCCCATGAAAGCTGCTATGGAAGGGAGAAGAAAAGCAGGATTAGCGAAGAAATCTGTGAACGCGAATCTATCTCCGAGGTAAGTGGTTGTTTATGTTTTGTTAATGAAAAATATAATACAAAAGAATTCTGTTGTCCCATTAATATAAGAAGTAATTGTTTCACTGTGTTGGTAGGACTGATAGCGATCGATAATCTAATGATAGAGACCGTCGGTACAAGCAAGTGGTACGAAACAGACTTGTTTGATTTTGTGATGTAGATTTTTTTAAGAGGTACATTGAACTCTCTCATACTTTTGCTACCATCTTACAGCCTCTTAAAAAAATCACAATAATGCTGCTTCTTGAATTTATTTACTATTTACATTCGTTCATCCATTGCCTATTGAAATGCAACTTTTGCACATCTAATCTATGAATATTATGGATGCGATATTATTTGATAAGATGTTAGCCTGTTTTCTATTTGTGATCGCTACTTTCACAAACTACTAATGTCATATAGAAGATATGAAATCCATATTATTCATTGCTCACTTCCTCATTTCATTTACCGATGTTTCAGTGACCTCTGTTACAGAAACATTTCATCATTTCTACCTAAACAATCTTTCTCGTAAAGAAGATAGCTAGTGATTACACTAATACATCTTTTATAATGAGTGTGCAAAGCCAGAACTTCTCAGCCTAATTTGTTGTGGCTTATTAATGTGATACACAGCTAGATTAATTTTTGAGCCTTATACTTCCATGTTTGATTTGCATGATTCAAGAAAGAACCAATCTGTTCTTGATTCGATGAGCCCATTTCTCGATCGTTTTGTATAGTTTTTCTATTAAAATAGGTACAGTGATCCAAAATATTCAGATATCATGTATAGACGTTTAATAGACAATTATTCATTTTAGAAACAGACGTAAGCGATTAGTTTTATCTTTTCAAATAATCTTATTTTAGAAACTGGTTCTTTCTTCACATTGTTTTAGTTTAAGGAATCTATTATTTGCTTTGTTTTTAGTCACGTTGCAAGATCACGCAGTTTCCATGGTTCATCAGGAGTTGGAGTTAGCGATTGGAGTGACGAAGAATTGGCTATATCTGCGGATGAAACAACCGTTTATTGAAAGTTACAGCACTAATCGCATGTCATGAATGAATTCGGTTAAAATCAGAAGTATAGCTGTGGTAGTCGATGTATATAAAAAGTGTAAGAGGATCCGTTCTTACCAGAATTGCTCTATAAATAGTTCTATAAATTTAAAATTACATATATTAAACAGTGAAAAATGTTAAAAGATCTTTTCTATATTAAAAGATTCTATTTTTTGCAACTTTTAACATTAAGAAACTATAGATCTATATGGCTATCAGTACTGCTCTAAGTTAAAGTATCACTATTTAACGAAATCGATGCGTAACTTTATATCATTAATGATTCAATACTCTTATATTTCAGTTTTGCTTCTATCAGAGTTTAAACAGTGATTTCTCTCGTATACTAGAATATGTGAAGTTGAGTATCGAGTGTTGAATGATTAGAAAACGAATATGTCAGAACCTCTTGAAGTTTATGGTAATGAAAATATAGTTCCAATCTTAGGGCCTAAGAATAACGAACGCTAATATACAAGAGTCGTGTGTGTTATATTGGTTTAATTGTGATTGGACCAATCATATAGAAGAATAAAAACATTAACATCTTCAGCATTCTGGATTCTACTATAACAATTTATTTGTTTTGAAGTAGCATGCTCGAACCACTATAGGACTTTCTGAAAATACTATTTTGAAGTATTTTTGCTCTCTAACT